CAACACACACACACACACACACACACACACATTAACACACACATACATACACACACACATACATACAGACGTACGGACATCATCGTAAAAATAGTCAGGGAAGCTTCCTGTGACCTTCAAACGTCGAGATCTGATGAAAACTCGATTTTTGTAAAACGGGGTGAAAATAACTTCCCGATTTTTGAAAATCTGAGATTTTTAGCGGGAAGTTAAAAATATATAACTTTTTAGTTATAATTTATTAATTCCACTATCCAATTATTGGTACTCAAATTAACAGAAATCTGATATCTGATTATTTTAATAGTTTTCTTACTAAAAAGTTATGACAAAAAACTTCATAGTGTTATGTCCACCCGCATTTTTTCTTTTAATTTAAATCACTCGCGTAGATGGAAAACTTCTCCATGCGTGAAAGCCACAATAAAATATAAGCTACGCGACTGCTGGTTGACTAGCGGGGACTTCTGCAATCTCAGCACCGCGAGTTTTTAAAAAGGCGATCAACAGCCAAATCCAGGTCTTTTGTTAGTTAATTCGACTTCCGCGTTTAACTTGACAGGCCCGTGCCTTGTAAAGTCCCTTGTCTTAATTTGCTCTGCACTTAATTCGAGTTCAGACGCGGTTTCAACCGGCAGGCCACGTATTAGTTTTAATATCTACGAGTCGGGATTCTCATAGTTCTAATTTGCCCTGCACTTAGGCGAGGGCTCGATAAGTAGATAAAATCTAGAGAGTCAAATCCCAAAGTCTTAATTTGCCCTGCACTTAGGCGGGATTTTGACCAGTAAGAAAATCTAGAGAACCGAATTCTCAAAGTTATAAGTATATATAAGATAGTCAATAAGTATAATATCTTTTAATATAATATTTTTTAAAGCTAAATTTGCGCACTTTACCCTACGGGGGACTGGAGGACGTTAGCTCAAATAATTAAAATTCATTATAATAATTTCGATCTAATAAAATTTGTGAAAGTGTAGAAGTTTTGGTGTTTATTAAATAAATCTTGAAAAGTGAAATCTGTTTTAAATAAATTCATTTCATTCATATAAGATGCCCTTAAGATAAGCAGCCCAAATCCATCCACATCCATCCGCTGCAAATACCAACAGAGGGTCCAATCTAGGAAAAAGCACTACGATCAGCCCCGGAATCACGGATCCGATCCTAAGAAATAGTTCAACAAGTAGTAAGTACATCTACTCTTTATTAAAATCCGTACCAGTCTCAAACGAAGGCGTGGTAAGTTCGTACATCGAAAACGTCCCACAAAAATAATTAAACAACGGAATTAAAACCTCCGTTGCGTATTCTTTAAACTGTTAGTCCAAACCTCCACCGTTTACGCTACCGCTCTAAAAACGCCCTTGGACATAACAATACGAAGAAATTTCAAAAAATTATAAATGCAATTTAAAAAAAAAATGTTTTTGCTCTAATTTATTTATTAAACAAAATCGAATAGTTGGTCAGATATGAGCTCATTCCAATAATTAACTATTGATACTAAAATTAAGAAACATCTGACATTTGATCATTTTTAAAATTCTTTTAAATTGATTACGACAGAAAACTTTATATGAAGAAATTCTAAAAAATTATAAATGCAAAATTCTAAAAATAATTTTTTAGTTATAATTTATTCATCAAGCAAAATCGAATAATTGGTCAGTTATCTGTTGATTTCAAGAATTAATTAACTGTTCATTAAACTACTTACGGATCATAATTAAGATTATTATTGGTACTAGGTTGAGCACAACAATTATCACTAGCTGAGTTGCTATTGTTGCTAATGTTCATTGTAGCTAATGTCATTGACAGGTCAGATTGCGGATTCTCCAACAAGATTATCAGATTTTCTTGGTGAGTTTCTCGCAGACATTGGATTAAATTTTTAAATGCATGAGGCCCTCGAGTTTTTATCTTTAACAAAATTTCACGTTTTGTTTCTGGTGTTCCCAGTCGATCCTGTAAATTTAATCATTACGAATATAAATTATAAATTATAATGAATAAAACATATATCAATATGTAAAAACCATAAAAAAATTTGATAATAAAATTTTCAATGAAAATTAAATTAGCTGACATCTAAAAAACTTAAGATTTTTTTTTGAAGAAATTATTACAAAAAAATAAAAAAAAAATTTCATTTGTAAAAAACTTGAAAAACTATAAGTGCAATTTTTTAAAAATATTTTTTAATTCTAATTTAATAAATGAACTTGAGTATTATAAATTCACACCTGTCAGTTTCTAGAATTTCTTTTACCAAATTGTTATAAAAAAATTGAAAGAAAAATTCCACCTGTCAAATACTCCAAGTAAAATTTTTAAAAATATTTTTAGTTAAAATAATCTATGACATTAAATTGTAAATAAATATATACACCTAACCAATCTTACACCGTGTATCAAGGAAAATTTTCCTAAAAATTGTACGTTAAATATATAAATAAAAAAAATATTTTTAGACAGTTAAATTAAATTTAATTTTAAATGGTATTAAGAATGATCAGGTGTCTACTGATTCCAGCATAAAATATTTTGAATAAATTCTATGTAGAATTTTAGGAACAAATTTTTTTAAAAATATAATTAAATATACTTTACCTTCCATTTTGGCACACTAACATCATCGCTAAAAAAAATTTGGTGAAGAAACAACCTTGGCCAGATCGACTCCATGTTGATTAGAGGCACTAATTTATCAATACATCGATCTATTTTCTCACGATCTTCTTGCTCCATGGTAAACAATAATACAATATGTATTTAAATATAAATATATCTTACAAGATAAATAACAATATAAATAAATGCTGGATAAATGCAACTGTGGTAGTTTAATTAATTATTTAGTTTTTTAACCTATCTGAGTAGCTTATGAGTATTTTTATATATTCGTACAATAGAAAAAAAATTGGTGTTATACATGTAGTATTCATGGGTTATCACTCTCACTTTTAAAATACTTTATCACAGATAACTTTTTAAATTAGTAAATACTGGAACACTGACTTTTACATTAATACATTTTGACAGCTAGATCAGTCAGGTTTTTTCTTTGTTAACTCTGATGATTTCTGAGAATTTTAATACTTGCCAATGACTCATATGTCAACTGTATACTATCTTGCAGCTGCTATACTCGGTGCTTTAACATACTATAGCAAAAGCAAATTTTCATTTTTATAATTTAAAAAAAAATCAACTAAAAGAGCGGGCTCTCTTAAGTTGTCGGATTTTATTTAAACATGTGAAGTTGCTTGGGTGTAATTATATTAAAAAATTGATTATAAAAAAAATACGATTGAACAAACAATATCTAATTAGGATTGATAGAAAAAAAAAAAAAAAAAAAAACGTAGATACCATCATATTAAGGGCTAGGTTTAGGTCAAAATTTTGAAAATTATTTATAAAAAAATGAACATCGAACAAACAATAAATTTTATCGAACAATCACGAACAAACGATTTGGTAATAAAGAAGTTAAAAAAATTGATTTTCCTCCGCCAGCTTAAGAGAGCCAAAAGAGCGCAAAAATATTTTTGTTGGAAATTAACTTTGATTTAAATAAATGTTGTAACCATTAAAAAAAAAAGTTTTTATAATTTAATTATAAAATATCAATGCAAAAAAATTTCTGTGAAAAATTTATGACATTACATTTGGCTATCACTGGACAATTTTTTAATTTTTTTTAACAAATTTGTGCCAAAAAATTATTTTTAGAAAATTGCATTTCTCATTTTAAAAATTTTTACGTGTAATTTTTTTTCTAATTTTTTTTTTTGCCATAATCTACTAGTCGTAAAATAATTAAATATATGCTAACTTAATTTTCATGAAAACTTTTACTGTAAATTTTAGATTTTTTTACAAGAAAGTTAAAAATTATAAAAAATTTTTTGCACGGTAATTATCTAAAATTTACTTTTTTTTTTACTAATAATTATACAATTTTCACTTTCAGGATAGAATTTAATTTCATCTTTTCACCTGTTAAAAAATAAATATAACTTTAACAATCGATTGTTGATTCGATTATCGACCGCCGAACGTGGAGACTCGGCTGTTATCGAGTTTGAATACTCGGTAGAATTGTTAGAATTGTTGTTATTATTTAGTTGGTTACTCTAAAATTTTTGTAAATTAAAAAATTAAAAAACTAAGTAATAAATAAATCAATAAATAATTACTCTAAAGTAAAATAAAAAATTAGCAAAATGTTTTTGATAAAATTAAATCAACGTTCACTACTGTCAGGTAAAATATCTAATAAATGTTTTGCAGGTTATGTTTAATTATTTTTATTTTAATTGAGAATTATTTATTTATAAATATTTATTGTTAATTTTTAGCGGAGAAATTAGTTGTCGCAATGAATCAATCAATGGGATTAAAAAGGTATCCCGTGCCTCCGCCAAAAAGAGGTAATATTAATGATTATTTTTATTTACAAATAATTTTTTTTTTCTTTAAAAATTGATTTTTTTTTTTAAACAACTTGTAAAAAAAAAAAATTAATAGACATTTTATTAACTTTATTATTTTTCAATAATTATGTTGAAGAAAATATGTGGTACTGAAATTAACAAACATCTAATAATTTTTGAAGTTTCGTAACGAATAAATTACAAAGAAAATTACAAAAAATTATGATTGCAATCTTTTAAAAATATTTTTTTCATACTAATATATCTTTTACGAAAAATAATCAAAATGGTCTAAGTGTCTGTTAATGAATTTTTATTGGTGGAATTTTTCACTGAATTTTTTTCGTATGTAAGGTAAAATACCCAGTTATTGACACTTTTATTTCAATTAAAAAAAAAAAAAGCCAACTCCAATAAATTCATAAATACAATTTGTGAATTATAAATTTTTATATAATTGGTTTTTTGAAAACATTTTATTTTTTGAATTAGAATAAAGTTGCTAATGTCAAACAACTGGGCCAGTGTCAGTATCTGGGTATTTTACTTTAATTGTAATAGAAATCTGAAAAATTTTCAGATGTCTGTTAACTTCAGTATCATAAAATTTTTATATGTAAAAATAAAAATAAATTTTAGAATTAAAACTTTGAAAATTCACTTTTTAATTTTAATTTATTTGTTCAAAAAAAAAAGAATGCCTGAAAAATTTATCAGACAGATTTGGTGAATTTTTCAGTAAATACATTATTGTAAAAAAAAATAATGCGTGAAAATTTAAATAAATTTTGAATGGAATTTAAAAAAATATATCTTATTATTAATTAACTTTTCAAATAAAAATTATTTTTTTTCTGAGTTGTCTTTTTAATTAATAATACAAAAATTCAAATCATTGATTAAAAAAATTAATAACAGAAATCGAGTACCCGGAGAAAATGAGATTAAAGATTATGGAAAAAGTACCACAATATCCAGCAGCGCTTAGGCCATTTAAGATGCAGAAAAAATTGCGATTGATGAGAGGTCCTGAAGAAATACACACGTCACTTATCCATAAACAGTATGGAATAATTGTGAGTTAATTATTAAAAACTTTTAAATTCAATAATTGATATTTTTTATAATAAAATTATTTATGATTTAAAATAGGCTTTAAAAGGAGGAAGATTGAAGTACGAGCACTTCGAGATGGCGCGTATGACATTTGTAAGACGATTTAAGGAGTTTCCCAAGTTGTTCGCCGTCTGGAGGGTTGACGCGCCCTGGCAGCCAATTACTAAAAAGGTAGATTTGATTGTGGTAGATTAGAACAATCTGCAATCAAAATAATTATTAAGTAGATACAATAAATTTTTAATCGATGCCTGGATTAAATTAGGGACAAGGTCAAAGAATGGGAGGTGGGAAAGGACATATAGATCACTATGCGACTCCGATAAAAGCTGGAAGGGTGATTCTCGAAATCGGTGGTGATGTCGAATATTTCCAGGTACTGATTTTTGGTCAGCAGTAATATTGAAGCTTTGTAATTATCAGAGTGAATAATTGGCGAATTTCTCTTGCAGATTCAAAGGGTGTTGGAAAACGTGGCGATGAAGATGCCTTTTGAGGCCAAGGCTGTCACTTATGATATGATGGAGGCAGAACGCATTGAAGAAGAAACTCTCGAAGAAACTAATCTGAATCCGTGGACTTGGAAGTATATTATTCAAAATAACTTAGCTGGTTGTCATAACTGGATCTCGCCATCTGATAAACTTTGGTTCTCTAAACACATATAAGTCTTTTGTAAGTTATTGTTAAGAGATCAAATAAAAATTTTATTATGGTAAAAAAATAATTGTTCAATTTCTTAGCTTTTATTTCAAATAATTTATTAAAGAAGTTTCACGTTAAAAGTCGTGAATTTGTTTAAATCCTCGAAGAAATATTCTTACTGTAACTTCTTACAGTATCGGTTAAAACTGACATATTTTTATAATATTATTTATTTATAGACAAATAGACGTTGTTGAATTGTACTTTATTTTATTCATTTATTAACTGAATGGTATTTGAGAGAAATCTAAGCAAGTTGCCAATATTGAAATTTAAAAAATGTTTAAGATTATGAAGATGCTGTTTTACTTATTACATCTATTGACTATGTAAAAACCAGACGAGGATGTTAACCATAAAAGTAACTATTGTCATTTTCATTTATTTTTGTTTTATATGTTAAATATTTGTATTAACTAAAAATTTTTTTTTTATATTTAGTTTACCTGGTGAAGCTGAAATAAATCAGCCAAACGTTGCAATTCTTATAATTTAATATCTTCATTTATTGTCCAAATTTCCAAGATCCAAGTTATTTAAATATTATTTATTTGTTTATTCAGATTTAAATGCGACAGCAAAAAGCCAGATGGCAAGAATACGGCTGCCCAATTTTAAAACACAGTAACTGCATAATTTTTATACCTGATTTTTTTTAGTATTGCTGCATTTTTTATAACTTTTAGACCTTAATTTCAAGTATTTTTTCTTAAAAATATTTATATTCAAGTGTTTTCTATTCATAAATCAAATTTTTCATCAATTTGGCGGGTAAACTTTTTTTTAATAAGAAAAATTGGAAAAAAATTTGAAATGTTAGTTACTGTGTTTTGAAATTGGGCAGCCGAATATTAGAATGATAAGATTATATACGGAGCATTCCATGCCAAATCGGACACCTTTTAGCTTTTACATCTCGGATTTTTTCGAAACTTTTTTGTGTTTTCGTACAAATTGAAGGAGGCCTTCATGAATTTTTTCGAATTTTTTTATCCAACCGTTTCCGAGATATAGATTTTTGAAAAATTTAGAGATTTTATTTTCAAACGTCCATAACTTTTTTTAAAAATGAAATTTTTATAAGAACAAAGAATGTTTGTTTTTAAAAATATTTTTCTTTAAAAATATCAAAAAAATTTTTTCGAACCACGCTTCTATTAGAATTTTAACATTTAAGTCTAAATTTTCGATTTACAAAAAACACGTACCGATCGATTTTCCTCAAAATTTTTCACAACAAACTCTCACCTATTATAATACAAATTTTTCTGCTATGTTCATAATGGGACAACGATGGAATCTACATTTTTTCAATTTTTCAAATTTCACACTTTTAGTTTTTGTGATAAAAAATATCTAAAAAAAAATTCTGCTCTCAGGATTTACTATTAATAATTATCTGACACACAATTATCATCGTAATTATTATATTTTATTTTCGGAAAATGATTATTATTAATTCACATTTATTTCCTTACGAGTTTAAATATTTTATGAATCCAAGATTTAACAAATGATGAAAATTCCTTAAATCTTAAAGTATCCTTTCCTTCTAGAATTAGTTAAAATTCTAATAGAAGTGTGATTCGAAAAAATTTTTTTGATATTTTTAACGAAAAATATTTTCAAATACAAACATTTTTTGTCCGTGGGAAAATTTCATGTAGTTCATTTTTCGCAAAGTTATAGGCGTTTGAAAATAAAATCTCTAAATTTTTCGAAAATTTATACCTCGGAAACAGTTGGATAAAAGAATTCGAAAAAAATCATGAAGGCTTCCTTCAATCTGTATTAAAATACAAAAAAGTTTCGAAAAAAATCCGAGATGCAAAAGCTAAATGGTGTCCAAGTTGACATGGAATGTCCCCATACATACTAAAGTAGGGAAGAGGTCGATTACCTATAGACCAATGAGTTAGATTACCGGTGACTTAGATTCCGATTACCTAGATTTCCATAACCCAGAATCCGATTACCCAAATTATCAATGACGTAGAATTCCTATGGGGTAGATTGAAGAGATGATAATGCTCTGGATGGTCCACCAGCCTTTTTTCTTCGGCAGGCAAGTTATCGTACGTTTGAAATGATTACAATCAGAAAATAATGTGAATCATTTTTCCATTAGTTACATATGATTATTATAATATCATATTATAATAATAATAACTAGCAACCTTGCAGTCACTATTTGACTGATGTGGCTTGTGAACTATAAAAAATTAAAATTTTGTTTTATTAAATAATGACTTATTTTGTCAAATTCCACTGTATACTTTTTTTAAAAATGTCAATAGTTCACAAAATACAAGGTCATTTTTTAATTATGTTAAATTATATTGTATACTTTCTTAAATATTGATGGTTTTAAAGATAAAAGCTCATCCCGATGCTACACTCATTAAGAGCTTTCATTTGAGTACCCACGTGCATTTTTGATATATTTTTTACATATACATATATCAATTAATTAGTTTTATAATCCCGATGATTAAACATTCCGGGTACTCGTTTATTCAATATGAAAAATTATACTGATTGACTGGTATATATAATTGTAAGAATTGGCATTTTATTATTAATTTGCATTTTATTATTAAACTAGTAGGATCTAGGGGCCAAAAGATTCTACGAAGATTTATCAGCAGAACTAGCCCGGGGCCGCTCGGACCACAAAGTAATTGTCGGGGACGCTTGAATCGACTGGCTGTGCTTCGTAAGACTGCTCCCTGGAAAATCGGCTTCAAGAATAGCAAAGTTTGCTGGTGGGACTGGAAGTCTTTGGAGTCGCAGGGATAGATGATGTTGCAGCAGACGTTCGGAGCAAAGGAATTGCGGTCATGTTGATTCAGGGTTCCCGAGTGGTGGCGTGGAGCCAGATGCGCGTAACGGGTCAGAGCATAGCTTGATGAAAGCTTGAAAATCGCTACAGATATTAAAAAAAATATTGAAGCCTCGTGTTTTCAAAAGCCGCATTCTGAAACATTCATGTATGACAGCAGCAGTCGTCGCATAGCGCTAAGTCCATGATTAGAGTTCCACTTAAAATCGTCGTTTAAAGCTCATTTTTATTTTAATTGATTACTTATTCGACAATCTTATTAAAATATAATTGTTTAAAAAGGAAAATAAAGAAACGAATTATTTAAATTAATATTTCCCGTTATTAATATAAATTGAACATATCTGATTATATTGTCGCTTAATAAAAATAATTTTAAATTTTAAAATGAAATTAAAGTTTTGTTACATATGGCCCCATCTATTCAGATTAACTTTTTTTTGTCAAGGTATAAGAAATCTATGCGATAGGGATTGTAAGTTATCAGAATTATAGGCAAACGGTATACAAGTAAAACTCAAAATAATAATATTTTATTTATTGATAGAAATTATGACATAAAGTCAATTTTTAAATTAGGTTCCAAATAAAATGATTCTATATATTAATAAATATGTACGTTAGTATATATTAATAACTTGAGACAAAAAAAAATTGTATTTGACTTTTTTTGTTATTTTTGTAAATTATTCGAATAAAAAAATATTTTTTATTTTTTTTAAAAATGAAGTGTTTATTTGATTCCTCAATTAATAGTAGTTACGATCCCATAACAGGTAATGGACTCCTAAAAGTCATGACAGATAAATCATTTTGCCCATTTTGGTAATTTTCATGTCTCCGTACTTATTAAATGAACATTAATCGACGTGAAGACGCATTATTAATGAAATGGCACATTTAGAACATCCTAAAAATACTTGTTAACACAATCGTCCAAATGACGTCTAAGAGACGAAAAAATCTATGTAGACTTTACTAATTAAATTAACAGGGCTAATGGTAATGTAAATAATTACCGATTTTTTGAAACTTGGGTTACAGAATAACATTTTTAGTAGATTTTATAGAAATCCAACTATTGCATTGGTCCTCATGACGGAACTTTTGAAAGATTTTGCTATATATCGACTCAGCTCGTCAAGCGGATTCATATGGTTCGCGGCAGAAAATACATATGGTTCAAAAGTTTATCTATGAATGTTTGCATACATACGGTTTACTGGATCTGTCTCTCCTATAACTCCCTTAATTCAGAACGGATTTCAATAAAACGTAACATACTCATTTTTTGGATGATTTCTGAAGTTAAGCTCTAAGATGAGCAAAATCTATCGATTAGTTTAGAAATGACAGCAATTCAAAAATTTTTTGAAATCGCAAAAATTTTCACTTTTATCGTATTTCCGTGAAATAAAAATTGAACGCGATATCCTATGGAATTTCTATAAATTGCATCTGAAAGCTTATATTAAGTAAGCTTCAATTTACACATTTATATATTTTGTTTTAATTAAATAGTTTAGAAATGACAGGAATTTTAATTATTCAAAATCCTTAAAAATTGGCACATTTACTATTTCTTTGAGAAATAACTAATAAATGCGATAACTTATAAAATTTTTGTAAATTGCATCGGAAAGCTTATTAAATAAACATTAATTTGCATACCTCATTATCAGTCTAGACCAAAAATTACTTACTCTTTATTTGTCTATTTAATAGATTCTTACTCTTTCATTCGTTCTGGAAATTATTATTTTAGTAGTTGTTGGATTTATTATGAAATTTACTTCCATAATTTCGGCTACCGAATGGTTTTTTTTTATAGATATTATATATATTCTAGATTTTAGTTGATAAATTCTTCTATCATTAGGTAGATTTAAAAATAATGTTCGGGATATCAAAAATTAATAGAGAAAATTTGATAATTTGGTGTTAAAGAAAAAACAAATAATAAGAGTAAAATTTTTGAATATTTTTTTATTTTTTTTAAATATCTTTGCTGACGGTTTTGGTGGTAACAACAGGTAAATACTACATATTGTACATTCAATAGGCGACAGTCGTATCTTAATACTTATTCAGCATATATTTATATATATAATATATATTCGT